ACGCCTTTTTACCTTTCTTCACGTGTCACCAACACACACACACACCTTATTATGTTGTTTTTCTTGTTAAACTAATTCTCAGCTAATATAATTTTTTGACGTAGCGGCTTTATTGTCGCGTTACTGCAACAATTCGCCACTGACAATTTCCAATATCATTTTGTGACGGAAGTATTGCATATGCTGTTGCGAGAATGTTATCTCCCGATTTCGTGTTATATACTCGGCAAACATGCAACTGAATACACCACAATCGCTGCCGTTCATTTGACGCGGCACATCACGCACCGATTCAATTTCAAATTGGCTTGTGTCGAACGGCTGCTTTCGCTTATCCAACGATTCATCTTTCAGATATTGTTCGAGTGCTTTTAACACGCTCGGATTTGGTGTGCCCATGGAGTCGTAGTATTTAATGGTGCGATTCTTCAGGTGAATAATGGCCATACACCAGTGCACACCGCCGACATGCACCGGCACCGGTATTACATCTTTGGAGAATATATCCACTTTCCGCGTCCAACGCTTTACGCCACTGTGGCCGGCTGAAAGTAGGCGCGGCACAAAGAATGTATTCATGGCATAGACCGTGGGTAAACCGTGCGAATCATGCTTGGTTTCACCGCGTTCGGTGAGCAAGTTCATGTAGAAGTTGATAACCTCGTCGTTTAGCCAGTTTTGGCCCATCAATGTGTGTATATCGCGACGGCAAATGTTCAAGTTGAATTTGGAGACCAGAAGCTACGAAAATTTTTGAAAAAGAAAAATATTACTTTCAATGATATTGCTACGCTGCAAATAGTTTAAATCATATACCTGATCAGATGAACCTATAACAGCCGCTTTTATGCGGGCTTGGTGTTCTGGCGTTAATTCGATAAATTCAGGTTCCTCCTCAACCTCTGGTTCAGGGAAGTCATCGATCACTAGCAAATCAGGATCGACTATTTGTATTTTGCGTAGACGTTCATGCATTTCCAACTCGGCTGCGCGCCGTTCGGCTGTTAGCTTCTCCACACTAATTTAAGAAAACGAATCAAAAACATAAACATAAGCATTGGGAAAGCTTTTTGCGCTCTTAGCACTTACACATTGACGGTTTCGTTGACCTCTTGCAGGCGGCTCTTCTTCTTTTCAGTCCATTTTGTATGCAGCGCCTCCAACCAATTGGCTTTCAAATGAGGCGATGTGTTGAAACGTTCTTGCAACGTATTTACCGGTTCAACGTAGGGCCTATGCATTAGAAAAAAACATATATGATTTATATTTGCTATGCACATATCCAGTTAGTTGACTTACAGTCGCAATGCACTTTTCTTCTTATCCCTTGCGCCACTCGCACTCGCATTTTGTTCATTTAGTTTTGTGCATGCCGACACCACTTGCTGCTCATCATCATCCAAGTCGATTATTTCACTGATCTCATCGTCATCGTCGATTATTACTGTTGACAGACCATTACGCACAGGACGGCGTTGCTGCACACCTACAAAGGGGACATCCGCATTGTTCTCCTCATCTTCGTCATCATCATCATCCAGGTTAATGGTAGACGAGAGTGGTGGCCGTTTCAAAGCGCGCGTAAAGCTATCTTGCAGTGTTAGTGACTGTCGCTGATTAGTTATTGGTTTCTGGTTGTTGCTATTGTCTTGCAATGTACTGCGTCGTCTTTGTGGCGCATCGAAGCTGAATGCTGGCTTTGCTAATGTACGCACATTTGCAGCCTCGGAAGCGCCATATATACAGGGCACAACCTGCTCTAATAGTTGCTGATACTTGACGTGCTCTTCAGTTTCTTTTTCTTGCGTGAGTATGGAACGCGCATTTGTCGACCACATATTGGAGCGCATGTTCAAAATATTCAGTCCACCGTTGGATGCAGCTTTAGTAATTAACAAAAATTTCATTAAATAAATATTCACATGTGTAAAAATTCAAATGTTGTAACACTTACATGTTCCGCCAGAGGAGGAGACCGAACTAGCGGAGCGTCTACCTAGTACGTGTCCACCACTGCCGGGCATTTGTAGGTTCTGTCGCAAAACATCCGAGTAAGACATGGTTTTACGCTTTGTCAAATCGATCTCCGGCATCAGTGACGTCGCTAGGATGCTACCCGTGCGTGGCTCAATGAGTGGTGGTGGCGGTTTTGACACCGCTGTTCGAGCGCCATCACTTTCGCACAGAATCGGCACATTGTACGTATGTGGCACTTTTTTACGTGCGCGAATATCGCTTGAGTTCGACCCGCTTGCTATACCGATGCCAAAACCTTTTATCAATTGCGGTTCATCATCATCGGAAAACTCCACATCGGCGTATGAAGTATTTTTTATCAAACGGTGTGTAACTGTAGGCGCGGTAAACATAGATTTGCGATACTTGGGTTTTTCTGCAAGAGATAATTGAAAATATTATTTTTATAAATAAGGCTCTCCTGTGCGAGTTTGCATGCCGATTACGATTAACTAACCAATGGAGTGTAATGATTTGCGTTGTGTCATCTCTACTGTATTTTTGGAAGCACTGCTAGGTAATTTGCATGATAACATTTGCTTCTCGTGTTGAGGAAAAGTAGAAATCACTTCAAAATCGGCTGCAAACGACAGGAGATTCAAGTATTGAGCATGATGAGAAATAATTTTAACACTTACCATCATCCAATCTGTGAGTGATAATTTTAGGAAAACGATTATGTACTTTTTTATATTTAATTGGGTGTGGATTGGCATCAGCTGAATAGTTCCCAGATCTAAAGGAAAAATTTCAAAATCAGAAAAATAAATAAGACAGTTCCGAATTTATTTATTATGCATGTTCCAAAAGTATTTTGTGTCAAGTATACCTTTTTCGTGATTGCTCGTCTTGGGTGTTGCCTGTAGAATTGGTGTTTAAGTTCAACAAACGTCGTAGTCTGTTGAATATATCGATACCCATCTGTGAGTTGTTGTGCTGTCCCGGTGTAAGTTCCGACCGGTGGTAGTGTTCCTCGTAGTCTTCTGGTGTATCTGCTATTACTTCTTCAGCCTCTTCTTCGGCTTGCGATCGCTCACGATAACCGTTTGCGTAACTTTGTCCGGCGTATTCGACGTCGTCCTCAGTCAAATAATAACTACTGATAACGCTTTCGGTGCTATCACTGCGCTGTAGTTGAATTGGTGGTAAATTACCATTCAAAACTCGTTGGCGAGGCGGTTGCGGTGGTATGAGTTCTAATGGCGGTAATTCTAACTCGTGTTGCCAAGTTGTGATTGGAATAGCTGCCGGTACCGGACGTAAAGGTCGCTTACGAGCTTGCGATGGCTCACTAGGTGGCTGTCTGCGTTGACCAAAAATCTGTCGTAATAAACAAAATTGATATTTGAAATCGATATTCAATATATAACACTATAAATTTACCTTATTCGATTGTTTAGTTTCACTATATTTGCGCTGTTTGGCTACCGGCTGTACACAGTATTCGTAATTATCTTCTTCGTCTTCTATTTGTATAATAATTTCATCTGTCGCAGGTGTGTGCTCCGTTTCAGCGCCTCTCACTTTAGATTCCACACTTTGTTGTTTATTATGTTTTTTTGTATCGACCGTTTCTTCTTGTTCATCAACAATATCAATTAATTCATATTTTTCATTCTCTTCCCCCTCCTCTTCTTCATATGCTGTCTTACCGATGCCGTTAAGTTTTGGTGATACAGCGTTACGGTTGGTGACACCTGGCGGCGACCCTTTATTTCTAGCTAAATAAATATTTTGCTCGTGTTGTCCTGCAATGTTTAGAACTTTACTTCTTGGAGCTTCACTAATTTTGAGCACGTTCAAGCGTCCGGTATAACCGGAGTAGGCAACGTTAGCTTGCGTCTGCGTTTGCAGTTGTGTTGCAGTAGTTTCGTCAACGTCGCGTACATGTGCCAGTATTGAGTTGGCGTCACTGGCGGGAATGTGATTCTTCACAAAAAATTGCAGATTATCCTCCAAAGGTGTATGTTCAATGTACATCATCAATGTGAACGCGAATGGAATGCGCCGTATTGGAACTCGTAATCTCTCTAGCCATTTACAATGGTTCACCCCGACAAGACAATTTTTTTCTCGTTTTCGCTGCTCACGCTTTTAGTATTGATGCATACATAGTATTATAAGCGATCAAACGACTGCATAAATTATTTGCTCGCTAGTAATTAAATGCAATACAAAGACTTTTTCCAATTCAGTACCGTACACACTTGTTTAATAAATATAGTATTTTTCTGCGTTTCAATACGAAAATTTCTCTTTACGCTTGAGAAAAAAGCCGCTGCTGTTCGCAAAAATTGTGAAAAGTGACACATGGAATTCGGCTTTTTACGATTGGTAGTACTGCTTGTTTCGCGTTTGTTGCCACTTGGGTAATTTTTGTTTCGCTGTTTACCAAGTACATATTTGTAAAATTTTACATATAATCTTCAATTTAATTATTTCGAGCTTTAAATATTTATTTTATATTATTTTTCCGTAAGTTAAGCACTTATTGCTTCATTTTATTTCTAAAAATTAAAAATTTTCTGGGATATTAATTTGTGAGCTGCCACATGTGAAATTTCCCCTAAGTAATAAAGCAACCCTGCGAATCGGCTCTCGTGGGATTTTCTCAGGTAAAAAAGTACAAATGATTGCTGACAAGCAATGGGTTGAAATTTCTTATTTTATATTTTAATTTCTATTTTATATTTTTAAGGAAATCATGAAAATAATTTTCTGTGAAGAGAAATGTTTTTTTTTTAATTCCTGAAAGCTGTTAAATTTATATATTATAATTATTTATTTTTTCCAGTGTATTAAAAATTTAAACTTCCAACTGGTCATTGATGTACTTTATAAGATTTATTAAAAAATACAACAAAATTAATTTACCTTACATTATTAACTAACTAAAAAATTACATATGTATGTATGTAATTATGAGAATATACATAGATATGTAGTTAAACGAAGAAATTTAATTTGATTTAATTGCACAATGAACATATACTTAAACTCTGATTTTTCTTTTAAATTTTTATTCGTTATTTGATTTTAATACTTAACAATTTTGACATAATTACAATATTTAAAAAAAATTCATTTTAAGAGGAACAATTTTAAATAAGTCTAACCTCAGATATGCCTATGACAAGTTTAACTTTTACTACGTTGCAAGAATTTCATAAATTTCTCTTTAAGTCCGCAGGAGTAGTTGAGGGCTAACACCTTTATAACAACCAGTGGGTTTAAAATCGTAAATACTGTTGAATTTTTCAATCTCTCGTGTTGCAACAGACAAAAATCATATTCCAAGTAATCATGCTTATAACGTAAACCATGCCCGCCAAACCCACTGAGGCCTGAAAAGTACAAAACATACAGATTTTATAAAATACAGTAAGCTCAAAATCTTTGTTTGTATTAGATACGTTCAAGGATGGACAAGAAAAATATGTGGTCCCCCAATATTTTTGGAAATTTAGACTTCACAGATCTCCAACCCCCTGATAAGTTGATCCAGTTAATACGTGATATTTGTTGCATTTGAGGGCTCTTGTAGGAACTTAGGTTCCTTTTTTGTATAAGCATGGATACTATCTCACCAGAACTTCCTGACAGTTAAGGAATGGTTCATTATTTCTATCGCTTCACGTTATCGACTTTCAATTATATACATATGTATGTTTATGTTCTTCTTTTAAAGGACTGTTTACCAACATATGATATACACAATTTCTGGACGACCTTGGAAAGGTTTCTTTTATAATCCTATAAGTCAGTAAAATACGATTTTCCACACCTATGAATTTTGACCTACCTCTTCATACCCTAACAAATACGATTTTTTTTTAGAATTTTTTAGAAAATTATAATGCAATGTCGAATCTAGTATGTCAAATCCATTTTATATTTATAGGGCCTAGAATCAACAATATCTTGGTAAACTTTGGTTAGGTTTTACTGGCCATCTTTCACGTCATACATAGACGTACCGGTCCTTCGTGGTGCCAGGTGAAGATTCAGTTTAACATTAAGAGCGACTTGATATCTACGTTTGATACTTCGTTTGGTCCTTTGAACTCCGAAGCTCTTAAATACATTAGACAAGTTCTAGATGTTAGAGGGGTTCTAGTGTCTCTCTCATGTCAACTTCTCTGCACTTTCTAAATGTACCACCAACATGACAAGAGGCGAACAGCTGTCCTTTCGAGACCGTGTGAGTAAGAAACAAGCGAGTTTTTTGAAGGGGCTTTTGTACATGATCTTGACGAACCTGCATGTAATTATAGAGTTCCATCTCCATCTGTCAGCTCTTTCGAAAACTTCGTGGTATAACGTGTTTAGTGTCATTCGTATTTCCGGTACTTTTTCGGTAGCCTGATGGATGGCACGCTTGGCAAACTCATCAGCAGTTTCGTTTCTCTTGTGGACTGGAACTCAATATACCTGCAGCCGCTTTCAACGTATATATTTATCCTTTTTATGTTGCTTCCTGCGTTGTTAGCTATCTCGGCCGCTATTTCAACTGCAAAGACTTCCGCTTGGTCGCAGGCTTCTGCGCCATCCACCTTCCCTTAATGTCACAGTTCTCTCCCAAATAAAACATGTGGGTATGTGGTTTAATTTGTCCACCATCCCCTACTTATTGAGCAATGTCCGAAGATCCTTGTAGATAATTTCTTAATACAGGCAATCTTGCAACTAATTTTTTAGGGCTCTCCACTGCAATGTCGATTGGTGGTTTAGTAACCTTTCTAGTGCCGCCGTTGGAGTGGTCCTTAGCGCTCCCGTTACGAAGAGAATAACGTGTCGCTGTACCCGTTCCATTGGTTTCCTGTATAAAATTTTGTTCATAGCGGTCCACCACACAATAGCAACATAAAGTAAGATTGTCTTGACAACCGCTGTCGCTGTGTAACACTAATGTAAGTTTCACACTCTCCTCTGTCCGTTTGTCTGTATGTGTATACGCGAATTAGTCCCCAATATTTTCAGACATCAATCTGAAATTTTGGCCTAGTCCTTTTCTTCCCAAGAAGCTCCTAATTTGTCAGTACTACCGCTATCATAAAGGATATAGCTGTCATACAAACTGAACGAACAAAATTAAGTTCTTATATGAAAAGCTGTTTTCTATGAAAAGATATCTTCAGGAGATTTGGCACAGATTATTGTTCAAGGCAACAATACAATTCCATTCCAACGCAACCTTATCGGTCAAAGTCAAGTTATCGTTTTTCTTCTTTCGACATAGATTTGTTACCTCCATCTAAAGATCTACACTCACCTGAAAAGATAAGGTCACAACAACCCAATGAGCCAAGGCGCCCCACACAAACATTAATAGACCATTGGTGAAATGTACTGGATAACGTATGGCATTCCATTGAGCACGTGGCATGCTGCGCTGAAAGACAACATCCTGAAGGAAGAGCGTTACCGCTTGACCGAAACCCAACAAGACGGAGGAAACACTCAGTTGCAGTTTCGACGTGGAGAAACTAATTACTGACAAATGAGAAATATTAGTAAATATTATTAATTATGTGTAAAATCTGTGATTATACTCACGAATTAGGGCCAAAGCCTTACAAACGCTTCCTAAAGTATGCCACTCGATTTTGCGTTTATATAAACTACTGCCGAAGCGTGGGGTCATCAACGAGAAGCACATCCATGGGAAGGCCAAAAGCGAAAAGAGAAATGGTATTTCTGCGTTTTTGATAGCATGATGAGTCACCGCCAATCCCGGCAGTACCGTTAGGCACATTACATACGAGAAGATGTCCGCGGACATAAGTAGTGTGGTTGAGTAGAGGCGTGGCACCAAGAGCGCACGCTGTAGTGGCAGAAAAGTTTTTTCCTTCAAAGTCTTCCAAATATTCGTAGTTATGTAACGGGATATGCGTTGAAATTTATACTACGGACATATAAAAGTGAAATTCAGTAATGGTATATCGTATACTTTTTACTGGAAACAATATGCTACTTACGAACTTTCCGACTTCTGTGACATCGGTCTCTGTCTTGTCGGCGCCTGCCGTCTCATCCATTTGCTGTAATCCATTCGATGAAGCATTAGGATGGATTTTTTGTGATGCAGCCACGCTGTTATGACTCTTTCCTATAGTCGCTGAGCTGCCACGAATCATAGACACAGTCTCATCTTCCTCGGGTATGATTTCCATAATCTCTACACCATTTGGATTGACAAAGGTCACATAGGCCTCATCCGCTGCCAACATATAATTATTCCGTGCTTCAGCCGAAAACAAAGCAGCGGTCGCGGTTCCCGGATGCTGTTCGCGTAGCGGACTCTTCCAAATTCGTGGCATTTGTACATCAATGCCATCGATTTGATCAGCAATGCTGGGCGGGAACGCGCCCAGTTGATGATGCAGTGGCGGGAAGGAACTCTCCGCGGTGATCATCGAAATGCGCTTTGTGATGGAACCTTCACGATGACGTGTGATAATTAAACTGATCGGTATGAGGTTCACTAATAATGCGGACATCAGTACTATCGACTGCGCTGTACCGTAAAGTGTACGTAGACTGGTGAAGACGAATGAGAGAAAGAGCTGACAGAATGCCTCGCCGCAGAGGTGTATAGTTTTGCGAACGAACTTATCTTCGCGAGGCCGTACCGCTTCCAAAATGACGTGGGTCTTCCAAATAAAGAGACTAGAACCAATGCCTGAAAGTTGAGGAATATAAAATTAAGGAACTTAAGCAAATTATAATAGTAAAAGAGACGGAAAAAATATCTGCAAAGAAATATCTAGTTTTGAAACTTTTTCACCCCGGTCTCAACTGCTAGTTCTTATTGAGTCAACGATCCCTTTTGAAAAAGGTTAGGCTAATTTTTCGTTTGTTGAAGCAAATGCCGCTTGTTAGTTTCAGGAACTACTTCACAAAATATTCCAAATAATTTTAATAACTTCAAAAATCATCGCTGATAATCTTTAGAGTACTACTCTCGGATGTCTAGAATTTTATTGTTTTCTTTCAAGTCTTACCTGCAAATAATCCATAAAATACTATTGCTACAGCTTGCGTTGTTGTTGAAACAATAAACCAAGCCGATGAAAAGAATACACCGCTAATCATTAGCGAGAGGCAAGTGGTGAGCGTGGCACAAAGAAAGAAGCGCCGATATTGTGTGGTCTCACGTTCACGACCCCGATACTCTGTATCCAGATGTTCCAGAATGGAGCGACAAATCTGACCCGTGGCTTGGTAAACTATTGCCGGCCAGATGCGCAGCACCAAATCCTTATCCGACTCCACGACATTGCCATAGAGATAGGCAGGTGTGGCGAGGAAAGCCTGAAAGCGTTGCGAAGAAATGTGTGATATACATATAAATACAAATAAAAGAAATAATAAAAACGTTGAGACATGATATGTTAGTGAGTAATGATACAAAATGATAATGGTTTACAAACTGACGTGTCACAGAATCTCTTAGTAAATTTTGTACTCTATGCGAGCAACGCTTTGTAAACACAGCTCTCGAAAAAGATAATCAAGATTGTGTTAGTTCTTTTGTTTGTTATGATTAGTGAGATTTTGTTTCTGTATATTTGGTATGAGCGATTACGATACAGTTTTTAAAAAGCCTCATATTCGTGCCGTCAACGCCGTGTTTTCAAGGTTACATTTCTTCCAAAGACCTTATCCCTAAATGTTTCATATACATAAAATCTGTACTGACTAAACAGTGAATGAATTGAACCGAACACAATCAGATGGGCTAATGCCGCCTAATATTAGGAAAGTACTATGTGTAAAACATTTGAGGAAGATATTCCGAATAAGTTCTTAGAACATTTTAATAGTGTGCTTAGTTGTTGGCTTCAAAATCGGCCTCACTCTCGGGACTCTCTTGAAATTTGAGATCACTCGGCTGACTTTGATTATACTCAAGAGTGAAATGATGGGATCTCCTTCGAGTCTTCGTCTTCTTTGTCATGTACCGATGCCAAATCTTAGGTTTATTCAAGTTCAAAAGCCAAAGAACTTTTCGGAAACATCAATTGCTTGATAATTTTGGTTTTTTTACTAGCGCGCGAGGTAATAACTGGACACAGAATTTTTAAGTACATTCCCTTATTATTTTTACAGAGGAGATGATAGCGATCAACTTCATGTTATGGTTATTTGAATAATTGCTTGGATTTTTTATGTTTTCGTCCGTAAAAATCATTAGAGGGTTCACTGTATTCATCGTTGTTAGTGCACTTATGACCTGTTACTTAGTTCCTTTTGATGCAGAGCCCAGATAATTCATCATCAAACTACTTTGATCATTCATTATCAACAAAAAAAAAAATAGCTTTTACCTTTCATAGAATGGATGTAGACTTTTCAGCATGTCTGATATACCCTATTTGCTCCGTAGTGAAAAAGGTACATGTTCGGTTTTTTAATATAAAGCATTATCATCGTGTTCAAGATGAGCCAAATCAGGCATGCCAACGTTTAATTAAGCGTACCATACCCGTTTTGAAAGTTAAGAAGGCCTATAGCTTGCACCCGAGACGAAAAATTCCGTCTCCTTGTCGCGCTCTGTACAGGACACTGCAGGCTCAGGAAGCACTTATCCAACATGAGCATAGTATCTTGCGCAAACTGCCATTTCTGCGACATGGAACAGGATTCTGGATTGCCCAGCAATTTGCAGAAGCAGGCTAAAGGTCCTAGATTCCATCTACGTGGACCGGGTTCACATCATCTCCTTCGCATCCAGCAGGCTCCTGGAATGGTTTAAGATACTGGACCTTGGTGACCCTATGTGATATAGAGGAGGGCACAATAGACCGTCGATTTCATTACAAAACCTCAATTTTTACTATCTATTTATGGCATTAAATTGCATCAGTGATTATTTTATTTTTGGCTCATATTTGAAGCGCGATTTGCTTAATTGTTGAACAATCCCGACGTAATATTCATAAAACCATGCTTCGGCACCACTTATGATGCGCTTGATGAATGTATTATCCTCAGCTACGTTGTCACAAGAAAAGAGATCTTTAACCGACGTCGGTTTTGCAAAAGATTCAGGTTTTTTTGTACGAATACACCGTAGACATGATTCGCAACCAAAGTGTGCTGACCCAATCCATAAGCAATCTTGAGATCCTCTGCTATCTTTCTAATACCAACTCGATGATTTCAAGCTCTTTTTCTTTAACTTTCTCGATGCTATTGTCATTAACAAATAATTAAAGATCAAGTTTTGATGACTTCACGAATTTCACGAACTGTTTCGTACCCGAAATGCTAGTGTTCATGATAAACTCCCCAAAAGACCTCTGCAACATTTTACTCGATTCTGAAGCGCCACTGTAAAAATCGCCAGACAAACTCTTCGTTAAGCACACACTAATTTAGTAATAGACGTACGGAGCTCGAACTTCACATGAACATAAAAGATATTATACCAACAATCTAGGAAACAAATATTCATCGATTCCGTTTAGTTTTTGCATTTTAAATGCAGCAGTCCGGGTGTAATTTAAAGACATATCAGACGCTCTGGTTCAAACTTATAATCAAAGCCACTAACTACTTTAGTAATTCTTCTAGAATCTAACAAGCCGAACTCTTTAGAGTGTAAATAATTGGGGAAAATGTATTGCGTTCGGTATTCAGTGCCCAAATTGCTTAATTGTAACAAATTATCCCAGTGATAGATCCTCTCAAATCATTTTATCATTCAAGATCAATAGCCCCCGACAGCCGCGGTATTTGTTACATGAAAAAAAAAAAAACAAATCGCTTTTGGCAGTTCAAGTACACAGCGTGTGAAGACGTCATATCAAGCGTTTGCAGTTATTGCTTTCCGGTTTTCGTTTGACGATTTGTCGATAAACAAGTGTCATTTAAATTTGTATATACAAACAAACATACATATGTATGTATATATATACATAGCTACATAGGCATTTACTTAATTACTTAATAATTACAAGTTTGTTTATAGAATGATATATTGTAAGTAATAGTTTATATGTACATGTATGGCAAACCCACATAACAGATACTTCTGTTGAATGTGTTTGTTGATTACACGCCTGCGCTGTACGCCCGCCGTCGCCACCGCAGTCGCCGAAGTCCATTTGCCGCGCGCCGGTATACTCATTGCTGCCGCCACCGAGCACGATACATTCAATTGAATGCGTGGAACGCGAGCAAACAACAATAATAATACAAAAAAAAGTAAATAAATTTAAATGCACAACAATAACAACAAGAGCGGCTTGTATTTAAAATTAACTTGTAACGTGTAATTTGTAACTTGTGCAGCTGAAGCGTTGTGCGAGATAAAGAGGATTTTTTTTTAATTTATTGAAATTTTTTGTTTTTGTTTAGCGTTTTTTGTTGTTTGTGTTTTTGTGTTTTTTTTTGTTGGTACTGTGTTTTTTAAGCTTCTTTAGTTTGTATTGTATTTTTAAGATTTTTTGAGTTTTGTCGTTTAATTTTTCGCTTGCACCTTTTGTTACTCTCTTCGCGCGCTTGTCCTTGTGTGCGTGTTATGCCCAATTTATGGGCTTATTATTCATTAAAATTTCTGAGTTTATATATATGTATGTATATATAATATATTTATATATATGTGTGTGACTCCACCAAGAACTGCTACTTCATAAAAGTTGTGTGTTTGTGTGCAGACGCTTTCACAGCAGCAGCAACAGCAGCGACGGCAGCAGCTCACATCGTAAATAATGGCAACATCGCAAATTTCATTGCACAGACGCACGCACAAGCCTTAACCGTTGTTTGAGCTGATAAAAGACTCGTCGCTTATCACTAGAAAGTATCTAGCGGAGATTAGCAGATGCGACGCGATAGACGAAGTTAGCATAGCACTTGTCACTGTTCTTGCATCAGCAAGTGAATTTTATCCAATTATACACGCGTWTATATATGTACGTATATATTTTTGTATTATATATTTATTTTTATATTATATACCATATACTTATATATATTATATATGTATATCTATTTGTAACGCTGCTATTTCCATGCACTTTCTTCGCCCGTCAATTCGCACTTAATCACTTTAATTAGGCAAGTAGTATTTAAATTAAAATTTCAGCTGCACCAACAACAACAACTAGCAAGCATATACGATATACAGACGATTGTAATACGCGTAATTTTATATATGTATGTACACATATAATATATATTTTAGTATATACATATGTATATGTGTGTGCGCGTGTGCTAAACGCGATGCTCGCTGATCAACTGCCTTAACGAGTGCCTTAAATAATTGTTGCTTCTTTATCCACTACTGCAGCTGATCATGTCACTTATCGTACTGAAAATATAAAACGTTCACTCGCCGCCAGTTGGCTTCACAATTATCATCATAATCATCAAGCATTCTTGCCGCTACGCACACACCGGCACAAACACGTATCACACATACACATATATATACATACAAAAAACTATATATATATATATAGTTCTATATATGAATATGGAGCATGTGGATATTACCATCATCCCCGCTGCAGATAGCAGTCCACGGTCGCGCTGATCTGTTGGCCGCCCGCATAATTGTGCAGCCAGCTAGCAGTCAGCAGTAGCAGCCCTTCGTAATCCGATGACGCCGCCGACGACGCTGTGACATTGTTGACGTCGTCTGCCAGAGAAAGCGCAAAAAGCTGCCTTTGTATTTGTAATGAGTGCTGAATTTGCTCGTACTTAGGAAAGAAGAGGGACTGCTGGCATTTATCTTAAGCTGATACGCGCTTTATCTTCTACATGTGGTACCTACGTATGGGGGGAGCTGTGAGGCGCGCATCCATCGCATTTTGTGCTGCTTTTCTTCAATTGTATTTGTTTACATGTCACACATATTTAATTACATATGTACATATGCTTGTATGTATATAGTAACTTGTTGTATATTTTTCTTGTTGTCAGCGCTACAGCTGTAACGTTTCCACTCAACACACACTCGTCGCGCGCGTACGCACAAATGTATGCAACAGTTTTCGCCAAGTGACGCAATGGCGCTGAAACTGATAAAAAATATATATAACTTTCAATCACGTCAATCAAAATGCGATAAAATGCATTAGAATTAGTAAAAATTTGAACTGGCTAAGATAAGCGACAGCTGGATTTATATATATACAACATATGTATGTATAATAGATGTACCTATAAAGGTGTGGGTGTTTGGTAGTGATGTATGTACTTAATCCCGTTAACTTTTGTCTTTTGTCTCAACACTGACAAAATCGCTTTTGGCAAGCTTTTTCAGCTTTCTTTTTTCCTCTCAAGAGTAACAGCGATGACTATACGAACGCGCATTTGTTGTGTGAAGCGGTTTTATACGCTTGCAAATCAGAAAAAACGTGTTTTTTGTGAATCCCTTTTTGAATAAACATTTCATTTAATAACTAAATTAAAATATTGCACATTTCAAGAATTTAATATATTATAATAATCGGTGGCTCATCTTGAAATATTTGCAGCGCGACCTCGAATATGGTGGCCTGCAGTGAGAAAGATTTTTCGGCTTAAAATTCGAAATTTCAATTTACACTGATGATGATCGACTAAAATGGCAAAAATATGTTTATTTATTTATTAGTATAAATACAAAAAAAAGTTGAAGTTTGATTAGAAATACGAAAAAACTTTTTCGACTACTCAATATTTGTAAAAAATTTTGGTCTTTATTTAAATTATCATTAAAATTGTACTAAAAATATCGTTTCAAATTTCATTAATTTTGAATTCAAGTCGAACAGTTCAGCCGTTTATTAGAAATTTTCTACACCAGCTCTAATAACAGTGTTTCAAGTAAAACCTTAAAGCTTTGGGAGTCGATTACACTTAGTTAAAAAATTCACGCAAATACTCTTATATAACCAAAGCTTTATTCTCAAATATTTATAGATTGGTACCTATACTACTCTTAACAGAAAAAATATGAAAAAAAATTTAATAAAAAAATCGAAATTCGCCAAAAATGCTTTTGGTGTGATTATAGTCACCTTCCCATTTTTTTTTATACTATTTAGAGCGTGGTGAAGGTTTGCACTATTGTAGCTGAATATTCTTCCTTTGTGCGCTTTGAATTTAGTTTATGGCGTGAACTCCATTGAAATAATTGTTATTTGGCCTTCAGAGTGAAATGAAGAGGTCAAATTTTAACCAATGCCACAAATTCACACAAGAATTTAGATTTATTGCGATTGAGCATCTTCTAACTTTCCGCAGATTTTGATCAATTGTGAATTCCCGTTTCGTACAGAATTTGAGGCTGTGGGGTCATGGTACAATATTTCTGCTTGTTTAATAACGATAAACTCAAAAGAAGACCAGAAACATCGGAAAGTTGTATATTATCGCCAAGAGATGAGAATATTCATAAGCTGTCTTCTTTAACTGTGAAAAAGAATACACGGTATGTGGTATGCTCGTCCGAGATCAGTGGAACCAAAAAAGAACTATTGTGTAGCAGTATATGAAAAAAGCTCTAGTTAAACCAACCGGTCTGAATTACTATCTTTTCATAAGGAAAGTCCAAATCATATCGTACAACAGAAACCTGTAGCTGCTGCGTAACCTAATTATGTTCAATCTTTATGAACCCAAGGGAAGTCCTTCAATTCAACTCTTCGACATATTTCGGTACCACCTTATTAACTTTAGTTATAAAATACAGTAACCATGTATATAGTCTAACGAATATTATCGAATGAACCTCGATATATTCAAATTCTATAAAATTAAATTGAAGCCAAAAAATTATGAATCTTTCATATTATTATTTTTCAAGTCAAATTTACTATCAGTGGGTGTTTATCTAAACTCTATTGCATTGTTATAGTAATATTTTGGATTTTCAGTTAATTGTACCTTAACGGCATTGTCTTTTAGCTGAGTAATGCCGCTATCTATTAATTAGAGTACAGGCAATGGGGTTCCCTTTTTTAATCAAAATTTAATAAAACATTAAGAAATTGGGTAAAATGACTTTAGATGCATATGGAAAACTTTTAGATTTCATTTGGGTATTTGAATTTTATATACAGTAGGTGCTCAAATGGATTTTTAAATGAGAGCATACAACGTCATGAACTTTTCTAGAGATAAGACGATGAATGGTCAAACCTGACCAGGAATATTTGGAAACTGGTTATTGTTTATATCAGTACACAGCGACCGAAGTCAATAACGGCAACAACGACATTGTTGGCTTTAGTTTCAGTTTTAGGAATGCATGAACTTTTAATGCTTTTGGCATATCGTAGAAACTTTTCTTGAATACACTATTGCCAGGGGAGTCTCTTTAGGGTTGTTTGCATTGAAAGTACGCAAACTTAGTCCTTCACTCATTATTATAGATGAAGCGAATAACTTTATAAGTTTGCAGCGCAGAACCTGCATTTTACGAAAAAATTTCGAAGATTTTGAATGATGAATGTTTCAATGTAGTATCTTCTATGGTTACATGCCAAACTAAATGCCATATAAAACTCAAACTCTTGCGCTCACTTTGACGTCTAGCCCTATAGGAAATTCTATTGAAGACATTTTTTTAAATAATTTTCGTGCAAGTATTATACTAATTAAATCTATTTAAAAACATATAGTCAAATAAATAGTCAGTGAACCACATGTCGAGTGAATTCTGTACACAAATATTAGCATGCTACTTAAGACGTGATATGCCTTTTTGATAAGATTAGCAAAAATTTGTATGTATACTACATATAAGCATGGTGTGAATATATTCTGTTATTTTATTTTTGGCAAAACCTGAAATCTTGGCGGAAATATACCTACGCACTTCCCTGTCCCCCAGAGCATAGCCAAAATTTACGAAATTGTTTTACATTAAATATTTCCTATATTTTTTTTTTATCTCAGCTGAGTGAGTTATGAGTTTAAATGGATTAAGATACCATCTGAAGATAACTGACATAGGAGACATCGCATACTGTATCCCTATACAACAATTGCATAAGTGGTAGCGATGGTGTAAGAATGTGAGAAAATATATGTAATTATAGATTAGTCGAAAAAGCCTTTTCGTACCTGTAATCAAATTTCAACTAATTTTTTTATATTTATATTGAACCAAAGATGTACTAATTTGCGCGACAACATTTTGCCGTTTTTCCCCAAGAGACATTATTCCATCAGTGTTTTTCTGGTTTCTCTGCGAAAACCTGCGACAAGTAATTTTCACAGGTTTTTTTTTGAAGGCAACTTTATTCCAAATGGTAGTCCTATGGAGCAAGGTCGGAGCTATATGGTGGACGCATCAAAACTCTCCAGCCAAGCTCTACCAATTTTTGTCGAGTCATCTAAGATGTAAGTGCTCTAGAGTTGTCCTGAGGGAAAATGAAGTCCGTTCTGTTGATCAGTTCTGGCCGCAGATGTTAATTCGGTCCATTAAATTTTTCACAGATAATTCTGTGGTACCCAAACATCGAGCTTCGTTTTGTAGCCAGCCATTTTTAAATGTTTCAAAATCGTTGGATGATGAATGTCAAGTTCCTTAGCGATGTTATGGCTACTTATGTGATGGGCCTGGTCAATCTTTTCCATAATTTCATCGAATTTTTCAACGATAGGTCGACCAGATCGAGGTGCTATACGAAAAAGTGGAGTAACAGTATGTAAATGAAGTTTAAAGTCTCACTTTTCCAACACGATATGGTACGAGACAATGTAATTGGTAGCAACGACAGCTATCGACAAAATACGTAAAGAATTTTTCGACTACCCAATATTTTGACTTTGCCCAAAATGAGTTCTGCCAGAACTGATCCTGTTCTGATCTCTTGAAATCTTCCTATTTCTCTGATTTTCAAAGTTTCGTTAGCGAAGTGTCATAGAATAAATGAGTTTACTGTTACGTTTTGAGTTTTTCCATTAGGACTTGCTGGTCTCCGTTATATTTTCAATTGTTTGAAATAAATAATTGCGGACAAATTAAAAACAAATTTCTTGCAAAAATACTTATCTAACTAACCGCAAAGATAACCAATTCTTTGATTGGCGTGTTATACTATATGTATACATGTATGGCCAGTGCCGAATCCAAATGTGTAGCAATTTTAGTTGTTCTCGGATATGTCCCAAAGTTTGCGAATTGTTCACGTGCATACCATATATAACATAAAAAATAAAACAATGCGTTTTTTATAAGCAGCACTATGTGCTTCTGTTGAGCTTTATTACAAAACTGAAAACACTTAACTTTAAGGTTTATAATCTAACCTATGCTTGAGCCGGCCTACGTGACCAAAGATGCTTGGTCAGCTAAAAGGGTTTGCGCGTGTTTCGCTCACTTAAGAATTTAGCGGATGCGCGTTTAGCGCAGTTGCACTTTTGRTTGTAATAGGACTCCAAAGTATGCAAACGGTTTGTATGTTTCTAGCATATAATGTGGGAATGGAATTTATGTAGAAGTTCATAAAATGTTGTGTTAACTTATACATTTTATGTATGTATATATTTTTTGCTTATCACTTTCATTTGATTTAAATGATAAGGCACATTTTAAGCACTGTATTTTTGATTTATAATTGAAAAAGATTTGAAAGCGGAAATTATAATCAGTAGGGGAAGTGGTTCTAAGAATTGTTATTCTACGAAAATGTTTGAAATTTGACGATAAAATCTTTAGCACAGGAAAGAAAAGATTACATAAATTTTATTAAGTTGCTGCGCTTCATACATACATACATACATAGCGTCTTATATAGGGTCTTCGAAGTTAAGTAAACAAATATGCATTTGTGATGAAATCTAAATGCCTGTTGTTGTTTGCGTTCGAGTGATTCATCTGACATTTATGTACCTTCGTAAATATAAAATAAAGTAATTACTTTGGAAATACGCATGTAAATAGATTGTAAATAGTCTTCCGAGCGACTAACTAACTGCTTAAAGCACAAACAGCAAGTTCAAAGCGCGTAAATGAAACCGGAAAAAATTAACTTCGACTGCTGGCATATAATACCCTTCACAGGTGCATTTCTATATCTTGATTTTGAGCGATCAGCAGTTATGGCAGCGATATACAACTATGTCATAGCTGTTCGATATGAACAATCTATTCGGAGATTATGACGTTGCCTTGGATAATAATGTGTGTCAGGTTTCATGGAGATATCCTGCCAATAAAAAAAAAAAAGTTATTTATAGAAAGGCTTGAGTTCGGTCGGTCAGTTTTTATGCCAGCGCTGTCATATAGTAGTCCGATAGCGGTTGTTCCAACCAATCAGCAGCTTCTTGGGATGAAAAGGGCGAGTGTAAACTTCCAGAACGTTATATCCAAAACTGAGGGACTAGTGCACTTATATATAGACAGACTAACGACCATGGTCTAATCGACTTTGTAGAATATCTAACGTTTTTTTTTCTGTGAGTTCCTAACTTCCTGGCAAACGTAATATACCCTGTTCAAGGTATAAAGACGTTACTACAACCAATGCAAAATATTATTAAAAGTCATGCAAATACTCTACATTAAAAGACAGTTATTTACACTTTGATAATACATATATACACACACACACTCTTATGTATTCCCTTATTTAGCTATTATGTCAATATGTTGGGATAAACACTACGAATTCCATTCTAGTGCACCAAAGGAAGCTCCATTCACAAATATAAATGAGTTGACACTTGAGGTGACATAGTTTTCATATTTGCGAAAGATAAGAAGATTAATGTGTATGAAATTCATATATTTATACGGATACGCATACATATATGTAAATATGCATAAATAAAGGTAGTTGGTCTGTTTGTGACCACGTGGTATGTAATTTTGATTTTTTATGCCCAATGTAATTTCTCTCAAAAAGTTTCTGATTTTTCGCTAAAACTAGCATAAGAAGCCCAGTTTTGGTCCTTTGCGATATCAGATGGAGTTAAATTTCTAGGGCCATAAGGAGCAGTCATCCTTTAAAATGCTTGGGCTTGATGCGAATTTTATCAGATTCTGCGGAATCACTAACGATACGACCTCCAGTGTATCATACCGTTTAAACCCCAGATGCTCACAGCGTAGTCTTGAATATGCGGGATCAGTCTGTCAGCGCCATTCTGCGATCTGCCTCCACCAGATCAGTTAGTATTCCGATCATGTTCCTAAGGTCCCTTGTATCGAGTGCTAATAGGAATTTTGGTGTTTTTTTGGTGTTTTTGTCAATATAGATTCAGTTAAAAAATAAACTGAAATAATTTTCAATAAACAATTTTTTTGCAAATTTTTTTTTAAATATCAAACTCCATCGGTTTTTTCCCAAAATCAAAAGTATAACGCCGCATTGACGTCCAAAAATAAATCAAGTAAATTTTTGATACCCTGTTGAGATGTGAACCGTATTTTAGCGATGAGTTTTCCATCGACCAGTACATATGGTGGGACAAAGTCTGCGCTACAAATCTCTGAGTTAGGCAAATCTCTCAACCGCAGTTTTCCAAATAGTTTTGAACCGGTCTTGCAACATGAGGTCGAAAACATCTTGATGGAGAATTATTGCCTCTTGACTAGTCGTTAATTCCATTTTCCGTTGGCGTTTTTCAGCAATCGCTCGCTCCAATTTGATGAGTTGTTGTCGGTAGCTTCCCTTATTAATGGTTTCACCCAGTTTCGGAACCCAACTATGACCCAAATACATATCATTACCTTGGCGTCTTCATCTTCCAAGCCAAATCACCATTTTTAAATCATGCTAACTACTTTTGACATCAAAATATGATGATTTTTGGAAGAAGAAGAACGGCACTATTTTAAARTTCGACATGTTTAATTGGAAGAAAAGTTATTTTCAAATGAATGACATATACAGTGCAATAATAACCAACTTGCGCCATCTCTTGGTAAACCGTACTATTACAGTTCATGTGTTTTTTTGAGGGTCAACCTAAGCTTTAATTTATTGAAAAGTAATTATAAAAACCAAAATCTTTACATTCGAAAATACTTAAAGTTTTCCAAAAAGTTCAAAACAGTTCACTTATATTAAAGCTTCTGCTTCTGATTAACAATCTTAACCCCGAATAAGATAGAAGAGAATAGTTTAGTTCTCAAAGCAGTGACTCATTGTTCGACCAATGAAGAGCCTAAAGGATCAGCTTGATGAATTGTGTACTCATATAGAGTGATGAGTATATACAGAATGTATGTTCTAAAGGAACAAAAATAATTGAAAGCTGAAAAGTAATGCCTCCGCGCTTCGATAAGGATCAGCAGCGAATTTGTAAGAAAATATAATCGTAAAGTTCTGACACAAAGCCATGAGCCACCTTACCCTGTTAACTGTAGCTATAAATTGCATTACAATGCAAGCATCTCCAACAGTAACTAACGAACTGCCTGGCAGAATTGCAACATTTCTCAAATAATTCGTAAAAGTATATAAAATGAAGCGAGTGATAACGGTGTTCTTAGTACTCTGCAGCTTCCTACTGGTCTGTTTAAGATTGCTGACATTATTTTTAAGTTTAAAATTCTTAAAATATTGAGTTTAAATTGCAGTTGCCAACACAAAGGACATTGGCACAAGAAGTTTTGCGGGTTGGCGACGAATATGGCAAGGATACGGAGTCACCGGTTTCTGTGAAACAAGATGTGGAAGGTAATATTAAAAATATTTTTCTTGCTGTTACCTTATTATGGATTAATATCAAAACCGTTCAAAATATATTAGAAGATCCACTAACTGAAGGCCAGCCAACAAATAGCACTGCCGATAACCTCATCGACCTTGAAAAACTAAGATTCAAGGAAGAAGATCAAAGCTCAATTTCAGCCACGCTACAATCCAAAGAATCGCTAAGCGAAGAGTCTTCACAACCTCAAGAATCTTCTTCTTCTGAAGGTCAACTTGAAGGATCTATAGATCAGTTAAATGATTCCGACAGTAAATCAGAGCTTGAAGGTGCAATTAGTGCAGATATTTCTCAGTCAAATGACTCCGAAACTGCAGCTGAACTTAAAGATACAACAGTGCCACAGGATCAATTAGAAGATTTAGTTTCAACGGAGACCCAAACAGAGCTTACGACATTAGCGGATGGAGATATCTCAACTACGCTTCCAACGGCCTCAAATGAACTAGAGGACTTGGAAGTCAGCTCAGCGCAGGACGAAAGCGACGTTACGGATGAACCGCTAGAAAATAATACGGAACAAAAGACTACAGAAGCGGAGACCGAAATTGCGGACACCACAACTACTACACCAGTTGCTGCAACGGAATCGCCCTGTACTGAACCAGCCACATATGCCGTAGAGAATGATTGTCGCGCCTTTATCAGTTGCAAACCCACAGCCACCAACCAGCTGATTAAAACACAAATGGCTTGTCCTACCGGCCAGGCTTACAACCCGGCGCTGCTGCGTTGTTCGCGTGATCTCTCGCCATGCGCCGATGCATTGCACTGCGTGCAGGAAGGTACATTTGCCGATCCACAAGACAACTCATCCTACTATTGGTGTGTGGCATCTCGACTGACTGATGCTTATCACATTTACCACATCCAATGTGGTAATGGTCAAATCTATACACACGAACTAGGTAAATGTTTCGTTGATATGACAAATCTGCAAGACTTGCCGCTCAATTACGAACTCTATATGAGTAAATCCCCTGACGAGGAGTGCGTGCGTGAGGAGGTGAAGGTGTTGAAAGCCGAAGAGAAAGCCAAACTGAAAGAAGCGAAGTTGCGAGAAAAAATACGTAAAAAGTACGAAAAAGAGCTACTAAAGAAGGCGGCCAAAGCAGCAAAGGAACAAGCTAAATTGCTAGGCATTTCATTGGAGGACGAGACACCGTTCAATTGTGTAGAGGAGGGGAACTTTGCTGCAGCGGCTGAAAGTTTTTTCGATTACTTTATTTGCGTGAACAAGAAGGATAAATTCAAGGCTATCGGTATGAAGTGCGTAGATGATCAAAGTTTTTCAACGGCGCAAAATGTTTGTACGCCTTAGAACAGGAAGTTAATAAAATTTAAGTAAATATTGTTGTAGTAAAAAAAGTTTAAAAATAAATTTTTCTAATCAAAAGCGTAATCTCATATCCCAGACGAAATGCCCGTTATTAGGAAGCATTTTAAAGCTCTGCTATCTTCTCTTGTAGCGCTGTCCAGATTGCGAATGTGTTGTGCTGAGAGCCAAAGATAACTACGGAAAGAGAGAGCATATGCTTGATAATAACTTGAGTTTTGTATTTTCATTTTATTCTTCCTCATCACCACTTGGCGAATTTCCAGGTGCTTTAAAAATTTTGCCTGATAAAAGAATACGTTTGTGGGAGAATATCAGTACAAAGGCGCAGAGCATATATTGTGTATGAGTTTATCGTGAAACCGCTTTATCAGTTAATGAGTTGTAATCACAAATTTTGATTTCGTTAATGTTCATACATTTTATATAAAAGCTACAAGTAAGTTTCAAGCGTCAGTTGCTTACTTCTTCACGACTAAACGAGACGGATCTAAAATCCTTAGTTAAATTAAAGAACTTACATACGAATGAAAAATTTATAAAAATATAAAAAAAATAAACGAAATTTATTTACGAGATGCAATTGCAAATATTTGCAATAATTGTGGCGTTTGCCGCAGTTAATGGCGGGATTCTTCAGAATCCATGTACGCAATCCGGGTACTTTGCGTTCATCGATAATATGCCAACGTTTTATAGTTGCTCTTTGAATGATGACGGTTCTTACGCGATTCAATATTTATCCTGCTCAAATGGATATGTTTTCAGTCAAAGCGCTGGTAACTGTGTATTAAAAGATCAAGCAAACGTTGTTGATACCACAGTTTCCTCAACAACAAGTACTACCGCAGCTACAAGTACTACACGTGGAGAGCAAGTTACAACTGGAGAACCTTCACCTTCGGAGGTACCCATTGTCTCGAGCACACAAGATGTACCAGTATCTACCACCGAAAAACCGATTACAACCATTGCACAACCCAGCACAAGTGAAGTAATAAGTACCACAATTGAAGAATCGCGCACTACCCAAGAGTCGACAAGTACGGATAAACCTGACGAGAATTCGACCATTACTGAAGGACCTACTACGGTTACAGAAGAAACAACATTAGCAACAGAAACTACACAAGCAACAAGAACTACTGAAGGATCAATCGTTACCGAAGGTCCAACAGAAAGCACTTCATCGGAAGCATCTGCTAGTACAACAGATTCTGCGGAAAGTGACACAACTGTAACACCAGAATCTACTACTGCGTCAGATGCACCAAACACTACTGAAGAAACAACTATTGCTGAAGATAAGACCACAACGGAAGGATCGAGTAGCACTGAATCAAGTGAAACAACTGTAGCTACTGAATCTACTCAAGTAACAGATGCACCAAGTACCACTGAGGAACCTGAAGCCACAACAGAAGGATCAGGTAGCACAGAAGCACCCGAGGAAAATGAGACAACTGTAACTACAGATTCTACTGATGTTCCAGAGGAACTAAGTACTACTGAAGAACCTGAAAATAATACCACAACAGAAGGATCAGCTAGCACAGAGGCACCCGAGGAAAATGAGACAACTGTAACTACAGAATCTAATGAACTTCCAGAAGAACCAAGTACTACTGAAGAACCTGAAGATAATACCACAACAGAAGAGCCTGCAGAAAGTGATACAACTGTGGCTACAGAATCTACTGATTCTCCTGAGGAACCAAGTACTACTGAAGAACCTGAGGACAATACCACAACAGAAAGATCAGGTAGCACAGAATCACCCGAGGAAAAGGAAACAACTTTAACTACAGAATCTACTGATGTTCCAGAGGAACCAAGTACTACTAAAGAACCTGAAGATAATACCACAACAGAAGGATCAGGTAGCACAGAAGCACCCGAGGAAAATGAAACAACTGTAACTACAGAATCTACTGATATT